AACTCAGTCGAATCAGTCGTATGTTTTGTTTAAAATGCATAGACCTAATGTTCGATTCAGATGTATTATCTCTGTTGTGAAGGTTTCGGGAATGACCATTAAATACTCGTACCTTTAACTGGAAGAAACCTATCATACAGCAAACATTTACACGAATTTTGCAAGGAATTGAAACAGATTGAGCCATGAAAATAAACAGTTATGTTCATTTAAGATGATAAAGTCTTATTTGCTAATATTCTTCTTAACCTTGTTATCCAAACAATTCGCGGACTTCTCAGCGAGATAATCTATTAAAACAGCTTACTAATCTCTATGCAGTACCTGTCATAAAGTAAATATCTTTTTGCATGGTAAAGGCGAATTATTTCTCTTTCAACGGTAGCTTCTTCAAACATACTAAAGGGGAATCCATGCGCAACCCAGCTTACCAATCGTCGCCGAAAATTTTACGGAGCACTTCGATAATGTGGCCCCGGAGACCAATCCGGATTTGCTTTCAAGAGTTTTCAATAGATGTTAATGATATTTTTGCCAGCCGTCCGAGTGTTGATGAACATAGGGCACTAGACCTCTTCAGTAGCTCATTTCATTAAAATATTGACTCTAATAAATTAGAGAATGAAACTCTAATACACTTTTCTCGATGTCATAAAAACTAACTTTAGTAATAATTCTAAATTAAAGATCATCGCAAACCTACGAACGCTGATAAATATCTCAAGTTTAACTTAGAAAATTATTTGAATAATAAACATTCTATAGTTAAACGTCTAATAGAGAGAGCCTTCAATTGTAGTAACTTTCTAACTAAGAGGTACAGCACATTAAACTAACCATGTGTAATAATAATTATTATCCAATTAAATTCGTCAATGATGTCATAAACCGTAGAATTAGTTACTTTGAATCAACACCAATAATATGAAGAATAATAATTAAACGAATAAGCTTTGCGTTACTTAATACCATCTTGTCATGAAAACTTTTGTAAAAAGTTGCAGAGATTACCTAACCCTAAATATCGTTTTAGCATTATATGTAAAAGCACTAATAAACTCGCTAGGATTGATTTATCAATTACTGTGTAACCTCGAGAAGTATTTATTACAAAGGCGAGCCAAAGAACTCAATCAACTCCAACAGACTTCCGAGACAAGTTGGAGGAGATGAATGATTGCGGACGAGCATCCGCAACACGTAAAGACAACGCACCCGGGAAAAAAAGTGAACCTTGTTCTCCAACAAAATTAAGGAACAATACGTAATTAC